TCGATGTTCAACCATATCATTACCTTGACCTTACATCATTTGTCAAAGCTGATGGGATGAAATTGGGAGACGTTTGTTGGTATGTAAATGCACGACTTTCGCCAGTACCCTACACCATATAATAATGTAATTAAAATGTGCAAATCATATTCAATGATCAATCGAATGAGACGAACCATCAAAAGTTATGAATATGAGACTCGTGCCTACATATAGTACGAGACTGATTCAACTTCTCCCAATTTACTTGGGCCTGCCTAAGGTCTCCTTCCCTTGGTTGAAGTTGGACGGGATTGCATAACATACAAATAATTACTACTACTATGTACTTCTTACAAAATAAAAACAAACCTTTGTTTTACTGAAATTCGATTCCAAATGGCTTTTCCATCAGAGTTTCTTTGGTGCACCTTTTTTGTTCGAGAATTTCGGATCTTGTACACTTCTCTTGCCATTATATTGTGATGCTCCATCATCCAACGCTATCTGAAAAACATACTGCGACACGTTATTACTTACGCAATCGACCTTACTGTCTTTGTTAACCTCGAAAATTGGTCCTTCCACGTGGTCAACTGAAAGCTACTACACGTATTCTTTCCTGCGCACAATTAACAAATAGTCAGGTGCACACGGCCGGAACCAACGGGGGTGGTGGTGACCGTACACACTCCGACGGTCAAGTCAGGTTTGGGTGATCGGAACAGTACCCAGGGGCTATACAAATCGATCAATAAAGGGGGAGGAGAATATATAAACTTGTTATGGAGTGCTGTGTATTAAGAGTTTCATTACCTTTGCCTCTTGTCAAATCTTGGGTATTTATAGGTGGTATGAACCGTTGGATGTGGAACGCGTGTATACATCTGACGGTATGAAGCGTCTGCTCATAGGCGTCAATCAACCGCGTTTGTAGAGTGGGCGGACAGTTTGTTTCCTCTGAGTTGGATTGACGTAAAGTTGATAAGTCACATCAACTAGCCTCATGGAGACGTCAAATCAATTTAAGCCTTAGGTGTAAGACAAATCTCAAATTGGCGACGGATCTTCTAAACGGGGTCCGCTTGATCTCGACCTCGGAGGTGAGATGCTTCGGCAGATCAGTAGTAGGAATCGCTATATCACTTCAGAGAAGCTTCGGAAGGGTCGTTTTCAGGTCGGAATAAATGGTGCTGCGAGGGGTCCACTTGATCTCAGCCTCGGAGGTGAGATGACACTTCGGTATCCGAGGCGTATATAATCGGAGCGTAACAGTGGTCCCCTAAGTCCAAGGATGAATATTTATATCATGCGTGGACTTGCTTTCTTGACCGGACCGCAAGTCATGGGAGTTTTGGGGGTTGATCCGTCCTAGCAATCGAGGTTATAATAATAGGCAGATGTGCCAAAGCTTCGTTATTGTGTGTAACGTTCGAGGCGGTCAAGCAGCATGGGACGTTGCGTAAGGTGCACTGAAGCTTCGTGAATATGGTGCGCTGACCCCACAGACCAACGCGTTGGGAGGGCTGAAATTTTGTAAAGCATGGGAGGGGACGCAGCGTCCGAGACGATGTCCCAAAAGGGCCTTCGCGTCAGGTGCGTCTAAACTTTGTAAAGTTGAAGGAGGAGCTCATCTGCCACCGGTGCGCTGACCCAAAAGGTGGACGCGTTGGGAGATGGCTGAAACTATGTAAAGTATGGGAGGGAACGCAGCGTCTGAGGCGATGACCCAATAGGGCCTTCGTGTCAGGTGCGTCCAAGCTTTGTAAAGTTGGAGGAGGAGCTCATCTGCCATCGGTGCGCTGCCCAAAAGGTCGACGCGTGAGAAGATGGCTAAAACTTCGTGAAGCATGGGAGGAAACGCAGCGTCCGAGGCGATGACCCAATAGGGCCTTCGCGTCAGGTGCGTCCAAGCTTTGTAAAGTTGGAGGAGGAGCTCAATCCGAGGCGACCCAAACGTCAAATGATTTGACAACTGTTGCGTGTTTTCAAGGTGACAGTTGGGTGCCATGTCCATTCTCCTAAAAGGCTGTTGCGACTACTAATTATTATTGACGGCTGGTTGTAACCGAGGTGATGCGTTTCAAGTTAGCGTGAAAGTCATAGCGACATCTTGGGCGTAGATCAAATCTGGCGTTTCATTTCAATGGCCTAGATTGAGGATGCGACGAACGGCTTATATTGATCGCATTTGAATTCAACGGTGGAGATCGAACTTGTTTTTTCTATAAAAGGAGGACTCTGGGGTTTTCTCAGACTTTCTACCCTTGCAAAACTAAGATTATACTTTGCTCTCAAATTTTTGGCGATTTCTGGCGTTTTGCAAGCACTTCCGGCGAGAAAAAACTAGACTTCCGGTGAGAAAAACTAGGTTTCCGGCGACCTTACACCATTTCCGGCTAGGAAAACCTCCAAACCCGTAAGTTTTAGCACCTAGTTAGGCTTTTAAATTTTTAAAGAATGGCCTCGGATGGGAGTTCTGGTTCGGGGAGGGGCTTAGAAATAGTGAGGGTGGACGAGCCCATTGTGGCGACCTCCTCAGAAATAGTTGGGGCAATAATGGGGGAGGGAGAACATATGGAAACGACCAGATAGCCCACCAGATACCTCTGTGCGTTGGGGGCGTCGGACTACCCATCAAAATTAAGGGAGGCCGACCTGGGTAGACTTAGGACAGAGTATAGGATCCTTGACAGCGTAGACTTTCCTCCCCGGGCCGAAAGAGAGAGCCTGTTACACAAGGCCGAGCTGTGTGGCCATTAGTGAGGCGATCCTTAGGGCTGGACTTAGGCTGCCTATCCACCCATTATTTAGGTTGGTGCTTAGGTCCTATGAGCTAACCCCGACGCAACTCAATCCGAACTCCTGGAGCCAGATGGTGGGCTCCTGGATGTTGTGGAAAGAGGCGTCATTAGGGGTGGAGATGCCCCTTTCCATTTTCCAGACCCTCTATATTCCCAAGGTTACTTCCAGGGGGGAGAAGACCCGGGGTTGGTACTACCTTACGTCATGGGGTTCCCACACTCCATTCGTGGTCGATCTGCCGAGCTCCATCAAAGAATGGAAGAGCTCATGGTGCTGGGCAGCAGGGCGATGGGACACGATGGAGGGGGACCCCCTGGTGCCTCTTATAGTTCTAACGAGGTTTTCAACACTCAGTGAGTATAGTTGTTGCTTCTTTTATTCCTCTTCGGTTCGACTTGTGTCTAACAGTTATGTTTCCTTTGTAGGTTCTCTTCCTCGGTGCGAGCTATCAACGAAGGACTTCGACACCATCTGTGTCATTTATCAGCTGCCTCAGAAGAAGAGGTCCTACCACAGGCTGATCCGGAAGAACATCCATTTTATTACTCACGATTTAATGGCGTCTCAAGGTAATAGGACCGAAGTCCTTACTTTTTATTCCGAACTTCCTAGACTTGTACTAATTCCTTATTTGTTTCTTTGCAGATAACTTTAACAAGAGGCTGCCAGTGCGCCCCGACTTCAAGACCATCCAGAAAATGATGGCTGAGGCACGGGCACTGAAGGCCTCCTCCTCCTCGTATAAAAAGCAAATGGAGGAGTTGGTGGAGGCCAGTAAGAGGCTCCAGCCTCCGACGGAGGAGGAAGTTCAGGAGGACCCGGAGGCTGACCTTCGAAGGAAGGGCAAGAAGACTGCCGCCTCTCCCAGACGCCCAACTATGGTGAGACCACCCCCAGTTTTGAGGCAGACCACCATTCCCACGGGGTGGCCCTCCCGGAGAGAAGCCCCGCTCCAACTGAGCCTGTCGTTGCCCCGGACACAGCACCCCTTGCTGCAGTGCCCATTGATCAAGCTCCGGGGCAGCAGAGGAGAAAAAGGCCCCGTCCTTCTAAGGAGGTTGATTTCCTGGGCACCAATCCTGAGGGCCCGTAAGGGAAACAACTACGGTGGCGGTGGTCCACAATAAATATTGGACAGAAGAGTGGAGGGACCACATCGCCTCCTGCACGGCTGAAGATCTAGTGGCTGCGAACAGCGCCTGTGTGGCTCGGGCCCTAAGCACAAGCATCTAGTTCGAAGGCTTGGTGAAGGATCTGAACTCTAAGAGGAAGGACCTCGCCAAGCACCTCGAGGAGGCGATGCATTATATGGATGCTGTGCGGGCGGCCCAGGCCAAAGCCACAAAGGCAGAGGAGGGGAAGAAAACTGCTGAGGCCCAGCTTACTGTTGTGCAAGCAGAGGTGGAGCGGCTGAAGAAAGAGCTCTATGAGGTGGAATGCCAAGTGGCTGCTGTGACTCGACGACTTGATCACGCCAATGAGCACCACAAGCTCGCCACCGGTGCTCTGGAGGCCTCCAACAAAGAAAAGGCAGAGCTGAGGCAGCAGACAGAGGCCCAGTCAGAAGAGATTACCTCTTTAAAGGAGGAATTGAAGTTTGCGGGGGAGGTGGCAGTCCAGAACTTTATTGACCACTTCGAAGACCATCCCCTGTATGACGACTTCGCCAACTTCTGGGCCTCATGGAGTGCCCAAAGCTTACTGGGTCGACTGAAAGAGGTGCATCCCACTCTAGACATCTCTCCATTGGAGGTAGAGTTTGGGGGGGCCAACTGGAGGTCGGCCTGATAAGGTTGTCGAGGAGGCTCCGGAGGCCCAGGAGGCGGCCAATGCTGAAGTCCCTCCAACAGACTAGGGTTATCTTGTAATGGCTTCGGCCCCCAATGTACTTAAATTTATGAACTGAAATGAGAAATTTTTGTTAAGTATTTGGGCTTCTGCTTCTTTGTATTTTCTTTGTTTACACTTGTATGAACGACAAACGTTAGACTAATTGCCTTGCGACAATGACCAGTTAATAACTGTGGACCGGACCGCTTAAGTTAACATAAGTTTAAACACTTAAGCGAGTATGAAGCGATTCTTAATGCCAACTTATTAATAATATGAGATCAGACCAATTAGGGAAACATGAAGAGCCGCTTGATGTTAATCAGCTAATAATTGACGATCGGATCGCTTAAATGAACCTTCTGAAGTACTGAGGAAACTATTCACTAACTGATATGGCTTGGAACTGAAAATCCATTACTAAGATAAATCACACCACCCTTTACAAAGGCGATTCCATCACTTAGGGAATTTTACAACTGAGATCAGATTGGGACAATTGATTCGCTACAATATATTGAGATCGGATCGGAACACAGTCTCATCACTGGTAGTACTTCCTCAAGTGTTCGATGTTCCACTTATGAGGCAGCGCCCTTCCTGACATATCTTCGATTTCGAAAGTACCAGGTCGGGATTCCCATCGGATGCGGTAAGGGCCTTCCCAGTTCGGGCAAAAAACTCCTGATCCGGTTGGTTTTGAAGATTGGAAAACTCTTCTGAGGATGAGGTCGCCCAAGCGGAGAGTTCTATTTCTGACCTTGGAGTTGTAAAAGTGGGTCATCTTTCGATGATATTTTGCCAGGGTCATTTGGGAGGTATCTCTCTTTTCCTCAAGGAGGTGTAGTTCGCTTATTCGGGCCTCGTCATTACTGATCGCATTGAAATGTATCCGTCGATGTGATGGGACCCCAATTTCGACCGGACTCATTGCCTCGGCTCCGTAGGTCATGGAAAATGGGGTTTCAGCGGTTGCAATCCAGCAAGTCGTCCTGATAGCCCAGAGGACGTGGGGGAGTTCGTCAACCCAAGCCCCTTTTGAGGTATCCAGTTTCCCTTTCAGGGTGTGCTTGATAGTCTTGTTCACTGTTTCAACTTGCCCATTCGCCTGGGGGTGATGAGGTGTCGAGAAGTCCTTCTTTATGCTCAATTTGTCGCATAAGTCTCGCATCTTCCTATTGTCGAACTGCCGCCCGTTATCAGAGACTATGGAGTGGGGGATGTCGAATCTACAAATGATGTTTTTCCAAACGAACTTGATAGTATTAGCCTTGGTAATTTGGGCAAGGGGTTCTGCCTCGACCCACTTAGTGAAGTAGTCAATGGCGACAATGGCGAAAGTTGCGCTTTCTCTCCCTTTTGGGAGTGGACCAATGAAGTCGATGCCCCACTTGGCGAATGGCCAAGGGCTGGTTACTATAGAGAGGCTCTGAACAGGCTATCTTTGTTTGTTCGAGAAGCGCTGGGACTTGTCACATTTCTGGACAAATTGGCAAGCATCCCTTTTCAGGGTCGGCCAGAAGTAGCCTTGACGGAGAACCTTGTGTGCCAGAGCCGTTCCTCCATAGTGATTTCCACAGATTTCTTCATGTATTTCTCTGAGTATGTATGTGGCCTCTTCGCCGCCTACACATCGAAGAAGGGGCGAAGCGAAGCCTCTCTTGTAAAGGGTGTCTTCTTGCAGAACGAAGTGTGCAGCCCTTCTCTTTAATTTCCTCGCTTCGCCTCTGGAAGCAGGCAGTGTTTGTTCCTTCAGGTACGCGATTATGGGCTGCATCCATAATGGGGTGCCTTCTATCCATAGTACCTCTTCGCCTTCGGAGGTGGAAGGCTTTGATAAGTGCTCAATGGGGATGATGTTTAGCAGCTCTGAGTCCATGCTACTGGCTAATTTTGAGAGGGCATCTGCATGTGCATTTTCTAGACGGGGGACTTGAGTCAGTTTGAACCTTTCAAAATGGGGAATTATGTTCAGAACCAACTTCAAGTACGCAAGCATGTTACCATCTTTGGCTGCGAAATTCCCATTTACCTGATTTACTATGAGTTGAGAGTCACTGCTTGCTAGGAGCTTCTTGACCCGCATTTCCTTAGCGAGCCTTAGACCTGCCAGATTGGCCTCGTATTCGGCTGCGTTGTTCGAGGCTTTGAAATCGAACCTTACTGTACAATTTAGCATATGGCCTTCCGGGCTCTCTAACACGATCCCTGCCCCCGCGCCAGCCTCTCCTGAGGACCCATCTACGAATAATTTCAATGTGGGGGGCTCGGCTGGTTCCATTATAGCCTCCATTTCTGGGACTTTGGTAAACTCAACCATAAAATCAGCAAGGGCGTGGCCCTTGATGGCGTGTTTAGGTCGGAACGTTAGATCGAACTCGCTGAGCTCGATGGCCCATTTAAGCAGGCGTCCCGACGCGTCTATTTTCTGCATTACCTGCTTTAAAGGGAAATTGGTGAGAACTTGTATTGAGTGGGCATGGAAATATGGCCTCAGCTTTCTTGAGGCTGTGATAAGTGCGAGTGCTAATTTTTTCATGTCTGGGTAGCGTGTTTCAGCTGGGAGAAGTGCTTCGCTGATGTAGTACACTGGCAATTGACATTCATTTTCTTCCCTGATTAGGACTGCACTGACTGCCACGTCCGAAACTGCTAGATACAGTAATAGAGATTCATTCGGTTGAGGTTTCGACAAGAGGGGTACTTCCCCGAGGTGCTTCTTCAGAGCCTCGAAGGCTTCTTCACACTCTGAAATCCATTGAAATTTCTTTCCTTGCTTCAATACATTAAAGAAAGGGAAGCTTTTATCAGTGGCTCTGGAGATGAAGCGGCTGAGTGCGGCTATCCGACCATTAAGACTTTGGACCTCCTTCGGTTTCTGAGGTGACCTCATTTCTAGTAAGGCCGTTACCTTTACCGAATTTGCCTCAATTCCTCTCTGATTTACAATATATCCCAAGAACTGGCCTGATGCCACTCCAAAAGTGCACTTGAGGGGATTCAATTTCATATTATACTTTCTGAGTATCTGGAAGGTTTGGTCAATGTGACTCACGTGTTCGGTTGCCTGGAGGCTTTTGACCAACATGTCGTCTACGTAGATTTCCATGGTTTTGCCAATGAGTTCGGCAAACATCATGTTGACTAACCTTTGGTATGTGGCCCCGGCATTTTTCAATCCGAAGGGCATAACTTTGTAGCAATACAGGTCCCTGTCCGTAATGAATGATGTAGCTTCCTCATCAGGTCGGAACATGGGTATCTGGTTGTACCCTGATTATGCATCCATGAAACTCAGTAGTTCATGCCCAGCAGTAGAGTCCACAAGTTGATCAATTCTCGGAAGTGGAAGTTGTCTTTTGGGGCACGCCTTATTTAGGTTTGTGAAGTCCACACATACCCTCCACTTCCCGCTGGACTTTTTCACCAGAACCGGGTTGGATATCCACCTCGGATTTATGGCCTCTCTGATGAAACCACTACGGCTAAGTTTGCTTACTTCGTCTTTCAGTGCCTCGTACCGTTCTGGGTTCAGGGCGCGCCTCTTCTGTCTATGGGGAGCATAGGAGGGGTTGATGTTAAGGTGATGGCAACTGATCCTAGGATCTATTCCCACCATATCTTCATGTTTCCATGCGAAGACATCCAGGTTTCCTTTCAGGAAACGTATCATCTCAGTTTTTGCTTCAGGTGATAATGACTTCCCTATTCACAAGACTTGAGTGGGGTCTTCAAGGTTGACGGGGAAAGTTTCCAATTCTTCCATGGGGGTCGCATTTGGTTCATAATCGATTATTCGGGGGTCTAACTCATCAAGAGGGGGTCCTTGTTTAGGGGCCTCTTCCATGTCGACGTCTCCCTCTTGTTCAGAGGTATGTCCTTGTTCAGGGGCGTCGAGCATTCCCACGTCCGTACCGACTTCAACGGGTACGTCAGCTAGGATTACATTAACAGTTCGGTGCTCGAATTTACGCAGCGAGTTTAGGTAGCATGTCCTGGAGCCCATCTGATCGCCCCGGACTGTTGCAATTCCATGTTCGGTTGGAAATTTCATGCACAAATAGTGAATGGATGTCACACCCAAAGATCTTTCAGAGCGGGTCTGCCTAATACTCCATGATAAGCCGATCTATGATCTACCACCAGAAATTCCATGAAATGCTGGGCGACTAGGGGTGCCGAACCCATTTCCACAGGCAGGGTGATCCGCCCTCGTGGGATGATGCTGTCCCCAGTGAATCCAAATAGTGGGTCGATCATGGGGATCAATCCATGTTCAATTTGCATTTTGTCAAAAGTGGAGCCGAACAATATGTTCACGGAACTGCCATTGTCAACGAGCATGCGTTTTAATCCGTTTCTAGCTACTACGGCTCTTACAACCAAAGCATCGCAATGGAGGTGGTGAACTCCCTCTGAGTCTTCCTGGGAGAAGGTGATTGTGGCCATCTTGTTTGTTGATTACGATTCGTCAACAATGTAAGTGATCATCGGGGGATCCTTAGCTTCTCTTGTATAATTTCTCTGGGCATTCCTGGTGTTGCCACCGACGTGGGGTCCCCCAATGATGGTATCGATTTTCTTGATGACCTAGCCTCTCGAAAATTGGGCTTGGTTCTCCTGCCTGGATTGGCCTCGGTTCCTCGATTCTCTTCTACGAGGAGATAGTTCCTGGTGACCTCTCTCTCCCCTCCTCGGGGAGGTGGATCTGCGAAGGTGTTCATTTCTGCTGGAAGTGTGAGGGTTGCTTCGATCAGGGCGCCGATTGGCATCACGACACTCGCTGGTGTCATGTCCGTATAGTTGATGGAATGTACAAAACCTTGCTCCTACCAAGGGTCTGTTTGGCCTCTTTTTCTTCTTCTTATTGTTATCAGTTCTTCTAGATGGTCCCGCCTCAGCAGGGGCATTATCATATGTCAACACCGACACTGCATTCAATGCGGCGGAAACTGGGGCTTGTCCGGATGTGGGAGCTATGGTATGCCCTGCTTAGGTCCATTGTTGAGTAACAAGGTGTGCTGCGGGACCTCGACCTACCTGCCTCTGAGGAGGAGGGAGTCCCTGCGCGGCACGGTTGCGATGATCAATCATTTCTTCACTAACAATTTCCACTCTCATCATTTCCACTAGCTCGTCGTATGTGGAGGGATTCTTGCTGAGCACGTCCCTCCAAAACAAAGTGTTCATGTTGAGCCCACCTTTCAGGGCTGAAAGGACTTCCCTGTCAGTGACCTGTTCGCAGTAAGTAATTTCGTCTGTAAACCTGGCGAGATAGCTTTTTAGCGTCTCTCCAGGGGCCTGCCTCATGTTTTGCAGGCGTTGAATTGGCGCCTTTCCTTCCCTGCGTGAAAGGTACTGGTTCAAAAATGTTTTCTTCAAGTCTGGCCAACTTCTGATGCTTAGGGGAGGAAGCCTACTGTACCATACCTCGGCGGCTCCGCCTAGTGTTAAATGGAAGGCTCTGCATTTTAGAGCAGGCGAGGCTCCCCTAAGGCTCATTTGTGTCATATACTTTGTTAGGTGCTTCTCCGGATCCCCCTTTCCCTCATACATGGGGATCTTAGGGGGCATGAAGTTAGCTGGCATTGGGAAGCTTCGAATCTCCCTTGAGAAAGGGAGGTTATCGTCATCGTCGTCAATCTCATAAGATCGACAGGGCCCCTCTGACCCTTCATCATCTTGGATGTCCTGGGATGGTGGAGGTGCTTCTCCTCGACTTCCCCAATCGACTAGGTTTCTCCTCTCCCTCCTATTTCTAGGAGGAGGAGGGGGAACATGCTCTTGTTCGCGATCCGGACAAACTGATCCTCTTGCTGGGCGGACCCTATTGCTAGGATCCTCCCCTATGCGGTCGAAGACGCTTACCGACCTTTGGTCGTTGTGTTCTTGAGGAAAGTTGTCCCCCAAGGGTGGTTCTGATGGATGACTCCCTTGCACATAAGATGTTGCTTCGGCGTTCATCTCTCTTTCGAGGGGGCATTCTGTGTGCTAGCTCATATGGCCCCGAGAGTGAGATAAAGGGATTTCCCGCACCAGATAAGATCCTTGGGGCCTTTGATAGGTCTGGTGTCCCTGGGCTTGCAAGAGGAGTTCCTGCATCGCCATATTCTGAGCTGCTATGTCTCTCATACCTGCAGCTATCTGAGCCATTCCTTCAGTGAGTATAGCTGTTCTTCCGCTTCGACGACGCCGGTGATGCGGTCTCTGATGAGTAACATTGTTATGGAGTACCTCTTCTTCAGAGGCCTCTCTCATGGGATTGTCGTCTTCATGGCTGTAGCTCATCCTACCTCTTTTTTCAAGGGTAGTAAGAACTTGAATTGTAACTCGACTTTGTTCTTTTTCAAGAATGTCCCCTTTTCAGGGTTAGTCGTCGATTTTCCGGTATCTTCTCCGATGGAGAACGCAAAACTTCGAATGGGGAGTGGTTCCCACAGACGGCGCCAATCTGTTGACCTCGAAAATTGGTCCTTCCACGTGGCCAACTGAAAGCTACTCCACGTATTCCTCCCTGCGCACAATCAACAAATAGTCAGGTGCACACGGCCGGAACCAACGGGGGTGGTGGCGGCCGTACACACTCCGACGGTCAAGTCAGGTTTGGGTGATTGGAACAGTACCCAGGAGCTATACAAATCGATCTACAAAGGGAGATGAGAATATATAAACTTGTTATGGAGTGCTGTGTATTAAGAGTTTCATTACCTTTGCCTCTTGCCAAACCTTGGGTATTTATAGGTGGTATGAACCGTTGGATATGGAACGCGTGTATATATCCGACGGTATGAAGCGTCTGCTCATAGGCGTTAATCAGCCGCGTTTGTAGAGTGGGCAGACAGTTTGTTTCCTCTGAGTTGAATTGACGTAAAGTGGATAAGTCACATCAACTAGTCTCATGGAGACGTCAAATCAATTTAAGCCTTAGCTGTAAGACAAATCTCAAATTGGTGGCGGATCTTCTAACCGGGGTCCACTTGATCTCGACCTCTGAGGTGAGATGCTTCGGCAGATCAATAGTAGGAATCGCTATATCACTTCGGAGAAGTTTCGGAAAGGTCGTTTTTAGGTCGGAATAAATGGTGTTGCGGGGGGTCCACTTGATCTCGGCCTCGGAGGTGAGATGACACTTCGGTATCCCAGGCGTATATAATCGGAGCGTAACAGTCTTCATTGTTCGTTCTTTGCATTCTATCCACTCCATTACCCGACGGCTTTGCTCGTTGTCCTCTGCAACCATGTTAGCAAGCGAAGCAAATGATTGACACATTTTGTCATGTCTCAATTGGGTTGGACTACTACTCAAATTGTAGTAGTTGACCGCGACCTTGGTGTGGGCTCTATTTACATCTTTCCTCTATCTCCGTAATATGTAGGTGTCAAGCAGTGAAGTGATGCTATTATAGAAAAGTACATCGATCACATGCTTGCAAATTATTCCTCGAAACTCGAAGAGTTGACAACAATTTCACATTTCTTTATTTGAAAGGTGATGAAAAACTTCTTTTTCTTTACTCGATTGTCAAGTATGAAATCATCCAATATCTCATACATTGTCCTTGAAAAGCCCTCCGATGAAGATATGAGATCGCAGTAAACCTTCCTAATGAACTCATCCTGAACTTTCCTGAATTTTGAAATGGTGTAGACTAGTTGAAACTGCTTTTCCGACTCGTATTTCATTGGACATGGTACCATTTGCAAGTAAAATTTGAAATCTACTTGAAACTCCGTTTCTACTTTATTCCTCAAAGCTCGCTCTATTGTTCGATAAATTGTTTTAGCGACGTCTTAGAGTGCACATACCCATCGAAGAATGTATTCATGCTCTCATGTGCTAAGTTATTGATTCTTGCCCAGAAGCTACTTTTTAAATAGCAAAGTATCCAATAGCCTCTGTTCAAGTATATTTTCGACAACCAGTCATTGTCATACAAGTTATATTTATCTATCATCACACTTCAACCTTCTTCAAAATTTTCAATAATTTTAGTACCATACACCAATACGTGTATAGTAGAAAAGATTTCACGTTTATCGACGTAGTATCCAAACTTTTCTGACAACTTCTTCAATATGTACCACAAA